CAAATTTTTCATGTAAAAACACTTGGCGCTGCTAGATAGAGTAAGAAAAACTATAAGAACAATTAAAAATTGGAATGGTAATTAATAAAAATAAATGATAAAAGATAATATATTGTATATAATTTAAAAGTAATAATAATTATTGTAATATAATTATAATATTATCTAAAAGTAAATAATAAAAGTAATAATATATTCTCTTTCATAATGCATGTCTTACAAATCTATTTATTTTTCTTTGATTTAAACTTAATAGCATTCACAACGATCATCATAATTATTTACACGACTCTATAACTCATACACATGCTGGATATTTTAACTCTCATTGGGGATGGTTTTTATTTTTCTTATTTTTCGAAATATTCATATTTTTTAATATGATTCTGACTTTTTTTTATTAATATGCTTCTTAATTATATTATTTTTCTAAGTATTATATTCTTATCCTTCTTATTATTATATATCGAGATCTAGCAACGTCAAGTGTTTTTACATGTAAAATTTGTCTATTTAAATTAAATTTTTTCATTTTATACGGTTAATTCTTTAATTTTTTATGGTAACACTTAAATTGAGCAAGGTAACGCAACTTTGTGATAATGTTTTGTATAATGTTTTGAAGGAGAATTAAATAACCACTACTTTAGTTGGAAGAGGAAATGTCTTTGAATGAATTGTGATATAATAATTTCATTTAAGAGGAATTTAAACCATTTGGATTGGAATAGGAAGATTCTTCAATAAGTATACGCATACTTAGGTTTCATTGCATAAAAATTAAAGATGGTACCATTTGGATTAAGTAAATAATAAATAAAGATAGTATCACTTCAGTTTTACTTTTCATTCTGATAGTAGAATTTAACTTGGCGCCACAGTTGTTGATATCAAATCGTTCGTACAAATAATACATACCATTAGATTAATATTCATTATTTATTTATATAATTTGGTATGGTATAAAGAAGTGGGATTTAACTTGGCGCCAGTTCTTGATATCAAATCTTTTATAGGAATGATACATATCATTAAAGTTAATATTAATTATTTATTTAATTTGGTATCGAATTACATGGAATTTAACTTGGCGCCAATTGTTGATATCAAATCTTTTTTATGAATAATACTTAAAATTTTGATAAAATTTTGATGAATTTAGCTT